TCTGTTTCTTGTAGCTTTTCAGCCATAAGGCTTGATTAATGTGCCTTAATCAGTGAAATGAAACTGAGTTAAACAACTCCGCATCTTGTCTTGTGCGCTGAACAGTGACAAGTTCTTCACATAAATATATTATAACAATATTTGTCAAATTTGTGAGAAAGTTTTGAGGTTAGAAGCTTTAATTAACAAAGATCAATATCAAGAAAAGATGAACCCTTGGAAAAAATGACTTGCGGCACAATCTTGTGCAAAGTTGTTCAGGTTTAAAGAGTGAACATAAGGAAGAGTTCCAAGTATAGATTTTGCACAAAAAACATGACATCTTTAGTTTAAAAAAATGGATAGCAGGTGAAAAACTTCTGCTTAAAATTCTGATACAAATGCCTATCAATAAGAACTAGTTATACTAAACTCATAACCTGGCTGTTTGCAAGGCAGGCAGGCTTATCTCAAAATGAATGTAGGTACAAAGGAAGATTAATGCATGCTCTCCAGCAAATTCCTGGGCAGTTGCTCAAAATCATCAAGTAAAAAATAAAAATAGCAAAAATGAGGTAGGCATCAATAAAATGTACTCAGTTCAAGAAGAGACTGAAAAGGTGCAGTTTTCATTCGGGGAACAATTCCTAACATACGAATTATGTTTTACATGCTTAATGTAGTCTTAGACTTATGACTATAATGGAGCCGGAAACTTCTGTCATAAGTGATTGTAAGTTGAGGCCCCCACATGACGACCCAATTTTATGATTTTTTTGTGGCAGTTGAATAAGTGAATGCCGTGTCCCAGTCATTAAACAAATCCATGTATTCCTATGGGTGTATTTTACTGGAAACCAACAAAAAAAGTCGCAAATTGAGGTAATGTGAATGTGGAATACTATAATCAACCTGCCGAGTGCCCAAAATATGGTTAGGTGACTACAAGTTGTTTGTAAAGCTGTTGAAACTCTGGAACTGGTTGTACATAACTTTTGGCAAGGCTGTCATAATTTTGAATGTTAGGTCATTAAGTGAAGATTACCTATATATTTAGTTGGGTTCTCATGCCAGCAGAACAGAATTCAGTGCAACAAATTCCACTTTCCTTTTGTGTGTTCCTTAAATCTGGAAGGATTATGAGGATTCTCTTAGGCATTCAGTAGAGTGCTTCAGGAAGAAAAAGGGAAGGTCAACAATAGAGTCTCTTTGAGTAGATTTCACCTCCCATTGATCTCATAGATATATTTATAAGGCAACAGTGCAGGACTGTTTTAACATTGCCTTCATCCAGGGTTCATTTTTGACTTCCCAGTCTAGCCTTGATCATTCTGTTTTTCTGTTTATGTCCCTTCCCTTTAATGTTCAATGGGAACATATCTTTGATCCCCACTGCAATTAAGACAGTAGTTGTTAAGAATAAGGGAATTGTCTTTTTTGATTTCTGAAATACGAAGTTCTTGCCACAAGAGTTCCCTCTCATGCTTCTTATTTATTGTCTGTCACATCCTGTCAGATGTAAATACCGATAACCAAGTGCATTTGTTGAGTTCAAAACACAGAAGAGTTTGTTATCTATACACAAGAAACTAGTCAACTAAGGGACAAAGCTAAATTTACTCTAGATAAAGGTTAACAGAATTCACAGAAGGCTCTTGTGGCAACATTACAACTCCAAAAAGATGACATGTTTAACCCCACCTTTCAGCTCAGCCTGATCTTCTCCTACACATCCTGAATGTCACTTTGACATTTTCAGCTTTTTAACTTGCCTCTCTGGTAACTTTTTTCCTTCCCCCCCCCTCCCAGTTTTTTTTTTTTATTTGATTTATATGCCACCCTTCTCCGGAGACTCAGGGCGGCTTACAATGCGTTAAGCAATAGCCTTCATACTTTTGTATATTTATACAAAGTCAGCTTATTGCCCCCACAAACTGGGTCCTCAATTTACCTACCTTAGAAAGGATGGAAGGCTGAGTCAACCTTGAGCCTGGTGAGATTCGAACTTACAGTAATTGCAGACAGCTGGTGTTAATCACAATGCTATCAGTCTGCTGAGCCACCAGGCCCTTTGCATGTTCATAATATTTTCTACTTTGTTTTCAGTAAATTGTGCCATTTTTTTCTTAATCTACTATATTAGCTGTTATAAATTTCCCATGTGATAAGAAAATTTGCTGATACTTTTTATTAGAGATAGGTCAATACAATAATTATATTTATTGGTGACTGGAAACTACATTTTCTCTTTGCTGAAAAGAAGAGAACAATGAACTTGTGATTTTTGGGTTTGAGGATTGAAAAAGGTAATTTATGAAAAGAATGAAATTATGATGTAACCTTAGAGAGAGAGGATAAAATTCAAATGCATTTACATCTGCTATCAAAAAGATTAGAACCTTATAATTCCTTCCTGCCTGCCAGCCAGCCAGCCAGCCTCCCTGCCTCTTTTTCTTTTGTATTTCTTATTCATTTCCTTTTCTAATATTTCTATTGTTTTTATCTTTAAATTTTTTCTTTTAAATTTCTTCAATAAAAATTATACTAAAATAATAACAACAAAAGAGGAAATTTGCTGATACTGATTCCGAGGGCATAGTAGGAATATTGAAATGGCTATTTACGGACACCTAGATGGCTCCGTGGACTAGGAGAGGAACATTTATCCAAGGCCCTATTTAAATATGGGAACCAGTTTTGTTAAAAGGCTAAGAGGTTTTACTCTTATTTGACTGCTGATTTTTCAGTTGCATTAAAGTTTCGTGATGATGAATCCAAAGTGCAGAGAAATTTTCACAAAGATGCAAGTATAATACAACCTATATATACAACCTATAAATAATAGTACTGTGGTTTGTCAAAAATTTAGTATGTTCTGTTTAGTTTGTTATTGGTGGGATGAGGTATAAAGTGTCAGTATTTAATTCTGAACTTCCTTCATCAGGTTATCTCAATAGACACAAGTTATCCTTTTGTGTTTTCTCATGCACAAATTCATTCTCTGCAGTTGAGAGACAGACATGATCCAATTTGTGAGAACATCAATTTACATTTAAGTTTTCAAAAACTTCATAAAAAATAAAGACAGCTAGTTAGATTTCATTCTTTGAACAGTGTCCTTAGTTTTTTCTTACTGGTTAATGTCACATGCATCCAAAATTCACTCATCATTGCTATTAATAGTATGCTGAGTTTGTATTGAAATTAATCACACTTCTTAATTTCTTGAAGAGGACTGATATTAAGACAGATTAGAGAGATAGCTAGTTCACACATGCTAAGTCATGATTTTTGTTAACAACATTTTGCTGAAGGAGTCACAACTGTTTGGGTACATAAATTATGTTAAGGATAGTTTACAAACCAGTAGCTCGTTTGTAAAAGGTTTACGATACCTTTTGGTTTACAAAGGTATTATAAACCTTTGCTTTGTCAAATATGACAAGGGTAGTGGTCATCCAGACCTTGGTGGAGAAGGAGTTCTAAAGGGTTGAGGCAGTGACAAAGAAGCAACCCTTCCAGGCCCCAAACCACATTTACCTCATGTCTTGAAGGAATTTGCAGCAGCATCCGAGTCTTGAGCGTATAAGATTTTAAATGTTAACATAGTAATTTGAACTGCATATTATTTTTGTCTTTTCACTTTGACTAATGCCTGATAAACTTGGAAATGTACCTAGGACATTAATTTTTGTCAGCCTTTTTACTAGAAGTTTTTGTGTATATTAAGGCTTGAGCATCTTGATTGCAAGAATCTGGATGAGCAGAAGATGGTAGAGAAACTACAGGCAGAGGAGGCATGCTGCGGGTCCTGTCAGTCTGATTATTCCAACTGGCCTTCTCTGCTGTTGTTCCTGCCCTTTGGAACATGTTGTCCTCCAATGTAAAGCTGACCCCAACCCTCCTATCTTTTCATATGGGCATAAAGACCTGGCTCTGCCAGTTGACTTGGAGCCCCAAAGCAGGAACAGCACAATGGAAATGGTTGATCAAGTAGCAACAGATCCCACTTCCCCCCATTCTGTTCTCACCTTCCCCATTATAATTGGTTTTAACATATTAATATTTTAATGTATATCGATAGATAGATTTCTGATTGTAAACCACCCAGAGTTACCTTGTGTAAGATGGACAGCCAATAATTTTATAAATAGGCAGGCAGGCAGGCAGGCAGGCAGGCAAGAAAGAAGGAAGGAAGGAAGGAAGGAAGGAAGGAAGGAAGGAAGGAAGGAAGGAAAAAGAAAAAAAGAAAAAGAAAAAGAAGAAAAAAGAAAAAGAAAAAGAAAGAAAGAGAGGCAGAGAGGCAGGGATGGATGGATGGATAGTCATTTCTTTCAGTAGTTGACCAGATGTTTGCAGTTCAGTTATGGTAACCTTCAGTTTACCTCTTGGAGTAAATAACATGCAAAGGGCAGAAAATGTTAGAAGAAAAAGAGTATGAGTATGAATATGAACATAAATATAAATAAGAATATGAATTGGAGTAAGAACCATTTGGCATAGTAATTGATTCTGATATTGAGTTTGGAACACTTTAATTGCGGGCGCCATTGTTTAGTTATGATGTGTTTGTTTTCAGTTGTCATTTACAGCTTTTGTCTGCCTAGCTCTTTTTTTGTTTAATCCTGTGTGTAGAAAGTTTGCTGCCAAATGATTTGTTATTTTTTATTTTGTTGATGGCCATTACATCATTTCAAATGGGTGCTATGGGGTGTGGGTTTGCTTTGACCCTATTACAGTTCAGTAGAGATGGATGAAATATTTCAGGCCAAGATTCAAAGTCATGGTGAACTTTTCTGTTCATGTTAGCAGAATAGGGCTGGTATTTTCCCCCAATTCCCACCCAGCTTTTAAAGTCATTTAGAAGCCATTCATTTTGCTGTGCTCACTTAAACACTGCCATGGTCTCAATTGTTTGATTAGTGACTAACATAATTCTGTTTGACCATATAAATAAAATACAAGAATATTAACAGCTACAGAAACATTGGTTCACTATTGTATTTCTGTCTTTTCTATAGGCCCATGCCAAAGTGTGGCATCTTTATAATGACAATTTTCGTCCTACTCAAAAAGGCCAACTATCAATTGCTTTAAGTTCTCACTGGATAAAACCTCAAAACATGACCGAAAAAAATATAAAGAATTGTCAGAAATCTCTCGACTTCGTGTTGGGCTGGTTTGCTAAGCCTATATTTACTGATGGAGACTATCCTCAGAGCATGAAACGTTATCTTTCCTTGACATTACCAGAATTCACTGATTCAGAAAAGAACTTAGTCAGAGGAACAGCTGATTTCTTCGCTCTTTCTTTTGGAGCCACATTAAGTTTTAGTCGTGTGGAAAAAGACATGCTGTTCCAGCAGCATCAAACTCTGAACCTGAGGCAGCTACTTTACTGGATAAGCAGGGAATATAATCCATCACAGATCTTCATTGTGGAAAACGGTTGGTATGTTTCTGGAAGTACAACGACAGATGACGCCAATTATATGTATTACCTTAAAAATTTCATACTGGACACATTAAAAGGTAAGGTTGCCTTTGGCATTCTGGTCAGGATACATTAATTAAGCCACTTATAATGTTTGAGCGAAGCATTTTTCATATGTCAATTAAATAAATTCTACTTATTACATTAATGAACAGGTATTTCCATGCAGAAGGTTTAAGCAGTAGGTAGTGGTTTTCCTTTTTTTTTCTTTCTTTCTTACTTAATAAGTTATTTTCTTACCCTGTTTTCCCCAAAATAAGACATCCCCTGATAATAAGCCCAATCGGGTTTTTGAGCGCATGGCAATAAGGCCAAGCCCTTATTTCAGGGTTCAAAAAAATGTAAGACAGGGTCTTATTTTCGGGGAAACACAGTATGTTTCCCCGAATGTATGTACAGTATGAAAGGAGATACGGGAAAATATGGGAAGATTACAACTGAAAGGCCATATAAGCTGAATTCCTTGGAAAGTTCCATACATGAGGGGAAATATTTGAATGTGAGAAATCTTGATTGGATGAGATTGCAATCTTGTTCCAAAAAGAAAAGATTTACCATTTATCATTGCAAAATCATTTTCTGAACAAGAACTGATATTATCTAAAAGGTTGAATCATGGCAACTGGACCAAATTTTATTAATCTCAGATGTTTCGTTGCACATTTCATCAGTGAAAAAAAAAATAGGCAGAGAGTCAGACAGTCAACTCTTGTCACACCAACTTCAGGGGTTTCTTTCAAAATTGTATAGCGATATATCAATGAAGACTCAGTAAGACTCAATATGCAGCTGTACATCAGTTACAAATATACCTATTTATACTTCTTTGAAAATGAACTCAAGTGTTGGTAAATACATCAGGAGGAAAAATTATTTTTTATTTTCAAGTAACAGCTGAACTATATCATTTCCCTGTGGAAAATTGAGTTTGCTATACACTGGTATCAGGTTGTATTAATTTTTGTAGCTCTTGCTAAATTGTGGTACATTTATAATTCCAAATTCAATTAACACTTGTTTACTATTGCAGTTTATAACTTGCAAACTTATAATAAAACAGACAAGATATACACATGCACACTACTTTGTGTGCATTTTAGATGTTATAGTAGGGGGATTGCAGGAAAAGAGCCTATATTTAAAAAGGTTGAGAAACTATGTCTGCATATATTGCATCTCTGTTTTTGCTGTCTTGAATAATTTCCATACTAATGACTTGCATCATTTTCTTAGTATCACTCAGCCATTGTTGAAGTGATATTATTGTAATAAAGCCTACCCATATTTTAAATTCAGTATTTCTTTTGTTGATTTCTGTCAGCCCATCAAATTGGCTTCTATTCTGTTTCTTTTCTTTTCTTTTTTTTTATTCTAGCCTATTTAACCCTCCAGCTGTTTTTGAACTGCAACTCTAAAATCTTCTGGAAGGCTCTATTAAGCCAAAGCCTTTACTGCAAAACAGATGTAACTGTTTAGAAGTGCACAGTGTTTAATGAACAGAGAAATTAGTTCTGTATTTATTGTTTATTCTTCAGCTATCAGATACGATGGAGTTGCTGTGATGGGGTATACCGTTTGGTCCCTCATGGATGGTTTTGAATGGTTCAGAGGCTACGTTCGACGGGGCTTATTTTATGTTGACTTTCAAAGCCAGGATAAAAAAATGATAATGAAATCTTCAGGTTTGTTTTACCAAAAGCTGATTCAAGACAATGGTTTCCTCCCAACACCAGAAACCCAACCTTTTAAAGGAACATTCCCCTCTAATTTTGTTTGGGGGGTTACAGAAAATTTTCTTCAGGTAAGACAATTGAGAAACCAAATGAGATTTTCTAGTCTTTCTTTAGTGCTAATAGGTGATGATTTTGTCTGATTCAATACAAGCATTTTATAATCGTACCAATTAGATGGAATTCTCTGATAAATCTCTTCATAAATAACACCTCTGTCTCTGTTTCATATGGGAAATATCTATACACATCTAGAGATCAACTACAAAATTTATTATCTTTCAGCTTTTGTTATTTCCCTACTGTACAGGAAAATTTTGTTCCCTCCTAAGGAACCCACATGTTAGTATTTGTAAACCGCCCAAGTCACATTAAGTGTGATGAGTGGTATAGAAATCTGATAAATAATAAATAAACCAATGGACAGTTTAACATTTTCTTACAAATAGATATGTTGGCAGAAATATGGAATAAACTCAGAGATGGTCATACGTTTGCAAAAAAAAAAAAAAAAGATACAATTTTCAGTTGCCTTTGCGATAATATTAGCTTGTTGGTTGCTTTTTCTAATTGTGACAGATTTAATTCCTTTCTCCCTCTTTGTTTCTAGATAGATGCAAAACGATCTCAGTTTATTGACCCTAATATTTATACATGGGGATTTCACCAAACCAAGAATCACCTCAAAATTGATGGAAGTGGTGTTCTGAAACGGAAGCCTCACTGTGTTGATTTTTATCATGTTAGACTCCAGATTTCTTTACTTCAAAAAATGCATATCACACACTTTCATTTTTCACTAGTGTGGCCTTTGATCCTCCCTCTTGGCAATGAGACAAATGTAAACCAAACACTTCTATTTTATTATCAGTGTATTATAAATGAACTGATCAAAGTCAACATCACTCCCGTAGTTGCTTTGTGGCAATCTGGAGCTCCGAATCAAGGGCTCCCTTTTTCACTGGCCAGCAAAGGAGGATGGGAGAGCCAACATACTGTGGAAGCTTTTGTTGAGTATGCTCAGTTCTGTTTTAAAAACTTTGGACATCATGTCAAATTTTGGATCACCATGAATGAACCCAGTGTGAAATACCTGACATACAAAGCTGCACATAATCTCTTGAAAGCTCATGCCAAAGCATGGCACTTGTATGATAAAAAATTCAGAAAGATTCAAAATGGTAAAATATCAATTGCCTTACATGCTGACTGGATTGAGCCTGCCAGCCCCTTTTCAAAAAAGAGTGAGGAAGCAGCCAGGCGAGCTTTGGAATTTGACATTGGCTGGCTGGCAGAGCCAATCTTTGGGTCTGGTAATTATCCAGAAGTGATGCGACAGTTGCTTCGCCAAAAAAATGATCTAGGTTTTCATAATTCTCAGTTACCTTATTTCTCAGCAGAGGAAAAGAATCTAATATATGGCTCCTTTGATTTTTTTGCTCTGAGTCACTATACCACAATTCTTGTCGGTTCCGAAATAGACATTTCCAAAAAGTATGATCCCCTTCTTGATATCCAGATGGTAAAAGATTCAACTTGGCTGGAATCACCCAGCCAAACTCCAGTGGTGCCCTGGGGACTACGGAAGCTTCTCAATTGGATTAAACATAAATATGGCAATATCCCAATTTATATCTTAGCCAATGGAATCGATGATCAGAAGAATCCGTCCTATGACAAGTTAAGGATACATTACCTGGAGAATTATATTAACGAAGCCTTAAAAGGTAAGGATCTTGTAAAAAAAAACCTAAACCATGTGTTTTGCTGCATTGGAACAATGTGTGTGGGAAAGACAGAGAAAAATATACTAGCACTGTGGCTTCAGATTATAAAGTAAATAAAAACTAAGGGTGTACAATGGCTTGAAGGCTAGGCAAGGAATTCCTGGTGCAAACAGCATCTGTTTGCAAGTCCTTAAACCAAACATGTTTTCTAGGATTACATACTTGGAATAACATTTGGGTCTTCAGAACCAAAGAATAGCAAGGTCTACTGAAAATTTAGTTTTCACAAATACAAAGCAGGGTGAAAATATTTGTGTCTGAGAAAAAATAGAAAAACAACTTTGTTTTTTTACTATGAAACCATTGATTCTAAAGTATATATTTTATCCATGCAGTTAGCTTTTAGGGGTCTTTTTTTGGCTGCATTTGCAATCTCTTGTGCACGTTTTTACCTGTCTGTCATCCTATCATCTTTTCTTCTTCCAAAGTTATACTAAAGTGACATTTAAAAAATTGTATATTGCTTTATCTTCTGTTGCTGTGATGTAGTATGTCTTTTAATCTGTTGCTTTCAATGGCCAGGAAAGTTTTTTAAATTATTTTTTTCCTATGCAAAGATAAAGTAAAAGTAAAATAAGAATAGAGAGGAAAGGGTGATGGTTTTCAGTGTTTGTTCCAAACCAAGGTGAGTTGTTTGAATGTGATTACATTTTGATATTTTTATTTTAATGTAAAAGTAGGCATAGGAAACTTAACATTTGAAAAGTGTGATAAATTTAGCAAAGATTATATTGTTTCTATCACTTCTGTATTGGTCATGACATTTGGTGGGTTACAAACTCAATAGTCAAAAAATGTATACTAATGTACAAATAAGATTGCTGCTAAAACAAATACATCACTAATTTTTTGTTCTTCTGTTCTTTTCTGTGTGTGTTTTTTTTTTTAGCCTACACCTTGGATGATGTTAATCTCCATGGCTATTTTGTCTATTCTTTCAGTGACAGAGGGGATTCCAGATCATATGGCCTCTACAATTACATGATAAACAAGTATGAGGCAAAACCTTCACTGATGTACTATAGGCAGATAATAGACAATAACTCTCCTGGCTCAGAAAACCAAGACCAGCTCTGCCCCAAAGAGCTTCTTCGTTGCCTAGAACGTGAATCTTTGCAACCCAGAAAATTTGTATTGGTGTTTACATCATTCATACTCTTTGCTTTCATTGTTATTATATTTCTGATGGCTTACTACTCCAAGAAGATTGAGAGACGATCAAAATACCCCTATCCAGTTCTTTGCCGCCTTTCACCTGTGTTACTTGGAAAAGTCTGGAAATAATTATGCAGTAGGCTGTAATTACTGTTGCACTGTGTAGGCCATCTAATGCTGTGGTTTTCTGTGGTGAATCATGTTCATGGAGTTTGTGTGATTCCTCTTGGGATTGGTGTTAGTATTTTGACTTTTAGTTCCTTAATATTAATTCCATCTCTCTTCTCCAATAGTTGCTTTGATTCATCAAGGGAGGAGCAGAACATTACCCTTCCTTGCATAATTAGAAAAATGCATAATTCCTTGCATAATTAGAAAAATGCCCATGTCATTGTTCATCTGTACCATGCTGATGGAGATCTCTTTGAGCAGATTGTCTCTTGGTGAGGATGAGATTTGAAATAAATAACTTGTTCAAATGCTGAGGGGAGGACTGCTTGTTCAGTATGCTGTCAGTGATGCCTTCTTTCAATACATTCCCTTTTTCTCCCCTCTTTTCTATTTCCTGTTTTATACTCCAAAACTTGATTCACCTTCTTCGTGCATGAACATGCCTAGTTTTTTTAATGAGCTAATTTTAGTTCCTGTTCTAGGAACTAGGATTTTATTTCCATAATCGTTGTACTCTCCTATTGTTTCCTGATTATGTATCTATTTAGTCACCATGAGAGCCTTTTTTAGCTGGAGGTTTAAAATTAGACTGATGAAGCTATTAATTTAGATATATTATATTTTTAATAATAAACCCCTGGTTATTGAGTTCTCAGGATAAAATTAACACCTTATAAAGTCTTAGACTTGAAGAGCTCAGGGATAGTGCCTCTGATTTTTAGGCAGAAGGACACGTATTCAGTCCATGTATATAGTGTTTGGTCTGAAAGGCTCTTATCAGTACGTACAAATAATATTGTACTAGATGGATAAATGTTAAGTCAATAACTGTGTTCTTGCTGATTCTTAAAATCGAAAGTCAACCTAAAAAAAATCCAGCATACAAGAAAGAATTCTAAAGGCAAGAAAAACCATCATCTTAAAACTGCATTTTCATCATCTATGAATTGATAAGCAGTTGTGAAGGTGCTCAACTAAATTTTCCTATAAAAGAGAAAATTATATAGTCAAATATGAATGTCTGAAGTATCTGATTTTTGTAGAATTTTCAGTTAATTAATTTATGTAAAAAGAGGCAGCCAGGGTAATTTTGCAGCTCATTCTCTTTTTACTTGCTGATGCTGCTCACACTAGTGAAAGAATCTGTTTTATTGGATTTTACATAGGAAAGCTGTAAATAGGGCTGGAGTAAATAAAACAACTGGTAAGCAGTGAAAGCAATATTAGTCAGACAGTAACTGTAAGATTGGATATTTTCAGGTAAAATAATGGAAGTCCTGCCCTAATCATTCCCTTGAAATGAGCCTTGAAAGGAAGAAAGTGGAACTAGCAACCAACAGTTTTAAATCACTCCTAGCTTTTATGTTTTTAAAGTTTATTTTTTCCCATTAGCATTTGGTGCAATCTTTACTCTCATTTGCAGTCATTCTGTGGAGATAGGCGGTAGACAGACAGACAGATATAGGTAAATACATAATTAGATATGGATAGATAGAGATGATAGATAGCATGTGCTCATCCAACCTTTCTCCAATTGACTAATTTACTGTTTACTCCCCAAATTCTCAACTTGGTTGGCAAAATTGCTGTACTCTAATTATAGATGGCAACAATAAACAATTTTACAATAATTTAAATCCCAGAGGACTGGCCAAATAAACATGCATATGATTGTTACAAGTGCCCATAACACTTTGTGTATTCCATTTTGTAAAAGCACACTTTAGATTTTTTTCTGCCCCCCCTTCCCTCCCCCCCCCGCCCCGGGCCCAGTTTTTGCTGCTGTTGACTTCTTTCTCTCTTCTGTTCAATCTGTCCAATTCTCAGAGACTTGTCAGGTCAGAAGTGGTTTGCCATTGCCTCTTTCCTAGGGCTGAGTCCTAGGGTGGAGAGAATGACTGGCTGAGGGTCACTGACCTGAGGATTTTGTGCCTAAGGCAGGACTAGAACTCACAGTGTCTCAGTTACTAACCTGATGCCTTAACAAGTATATTAAAAAATAGGTTTTGCCAGTTTTGAACATTCTTAGTACCAGATACTTCAAATAATCCTGTTAGACGCATTTTCTCTTTATATGTAACATACAAAAATTCTATGTGATGAAGTATTTAACAAAGAAGTAGTGATAAGACCGTTTTTTGCCTCTTGCATGGCATAATACATTTCCCATATTTCATTGCATTTGGGGAATCTAAAATGTGGCTATTGTAGTCTGCGAGCAGATTACATAAAGTATGTTTTCTTAATACAATATATTTAGTGATTTATAAAGAAGGTAAATAATACTTGGGCCCCATCATCCAGTATTTAATCTATATTGTGTAACAGAGATAACTATAGAGAAACTATTTTATTTACCATAACATACAGTATTTCTATTCTTTTCATTCTTGACCAAACCAGCATGCAATAGTTCACAATACAAATACAAAACAATAATAAAATAGAAACATTACACATATAATCTAAAACCTCATTATAATTTCCAAAAGTAATAATTGTACACAAACAATTAAGAAAAGCACAAATCCAATGCTAAAATACAATAAAACAGAATCTTAAAACAATATCTTTCAGTATTGGGTGTGCAAGACAGAAGAGTTTGGGTATAACAATATGATTTTTGTCTCTTAAATCAGGGAGTAGAGATCCAGTCTTTTGAAGAACTGCACCCAATAATAGCAAGTGGTGAACTGGATTCTATAATAAAATATATTATGATTACACTGTAAATGATAATTTGTGTATATGTACATTTCTGCATCATGTGGGGGGGGGAACAGCCCATTGGTTTTGTTTTGCTAGATGAGAATTCTTGTTACAGTGCTAAAATTATCACGAGATGGATTTTAACCTATGTAAACAGTGTTCATCAGTTTTTGCTATTAACAAAAGTTTGAAAGCTTCTATTTTAAATTACACTTTGGTGGGTAGAAAAATGGTTATTTAATGGAAAAACAAGGACAACTGAGATGTAAAGATTATTGTCTGGGTTCATAAACCCCTTTTTTGCCAATTGTAAATTGCACACTATTCCCCCCCTATTATTTATTTAGCAACTGTGAATTTTGCATCTCACTGTGAATGTATCTTGTACAAATAGTGTCTACTATATAAAAAAATGTATAAAAAGTGTAAAGTCATAATCTGAATAGTTTTGCAATCACCACCCGTTGTTGCTGACTCTGCTTTGAAAATTCTACTTCATTCATGTCCTTTTTAATTGTTCTAATAATGTCAAGTTTAAGCTCTCTACAAGAATCTGAACTACTAATGGTCAAGGGAAATTCATGGGAATTAAGTATAGAAAGAAATTCAAGGTGGATTGGACTTAGATCTCTTGTGGCTGCGTAGGGACTCATGACTGATAATGAGTTTGACCCCTCCCTCGGGTTTAGCTTGGTCATGTCCTACAAATAACCTGTACATTATTTCTACTTTCCTGAAACCTATGAATGTGATATGACTGTGCAATCATTTTAGAAAATTCCAATTATGTTTGTCTTACTGTATTTTATGGAATGAATGGTAGCAGAGAATATATTTGCAAAGTGAACCAAGTATTTTTCTTGTTTATTATCTAATAAATTGAATTACATTACTTTAGTTCAGTAGTTCCATATCTTTTTAAAAACAATTTGTTTATTTACTATTTTTGATTCAGCTAGTTTTTATTTTTGCATATGTTTAATATATAATATTTGGGAATGGATAGTCTTATATGAAGAATTTCAAAGGGTAGGTGAAGTGTGTCCTGATCTGAAATTTTAATGCTTGAAAGTCCTAATTCGTTTGATCCTGCATCCTCATCAATTTAATTTCTCTGGAAGGCTAGACATATAGCGGAACCCCTTAAAAGATGGCAAATTATGGGAAAATTCATGTAGGTTGAAGGTTCTATTCAAATATATATTTTGAAATATTCTAGACGGCCAGGAAAATTAAGATAAATTTTAGACAGCAGTTTGGATTTGAGCAATACATAAATCTATAGCTCAGTTTATAATCCTGAAGTTCTTTAAAAAGGCCTCCCTAAACTAGATCCAGTAGGATTTAATACTGTGGCCCAGTTTACCTCTGATCTGAATGGGGGATCTTCTGGTTTATATGGGCAAAAAAATGAGAATAAATGAGAGCGTTTTTCTGAGAGCAAATCATAAATACAGATGTCAGTTTTTAAAGTAAAGCTAGAATTGATGAAAAAGAGATAAAGTTACTCTACTTATTCTGCCCTGCCAAGATACCAATATTGGGGTTGGGAGAAATAAAGTTGTTTTTAGGAAGAAAATGGCATCCCTAAGAGATAGAAATTAATATAGATGGTCCTTGACTTACAACAGTTCATTTAGTAACCATTCAATGTTATAATGTTAGCATTGAAAATTATAATGTTAGCATATAATGTTCAATGTTAGCATTGAAAAAAGTGACTTATGCCCTTTTTCTCACTTACAACCTTTGTGACATCGCCAGAGTCATATGATAAAATTCAGACATTTGCAACTGACTTATATTTATGATGGTTGCAGTGTCCTGGGGTCATGTGGTCACTGAGCTGTGGTGGCATAGTGGTTAGAATGCAGTACTGCAGGCCGTTGTTGACTGCCGACTGCCAGCAGTTTAATCCTCACTGGCTCAAGGTTAACTCAGCCCTTCATCCTTCTGAGGTCAGTAAAATGAAGACCCAGGCTATTGGGGGCAATATGCGGACTCTGTAAACCACTTAGAAAGGGCTGTAAAGCACTATGAAGTGGTAGGTAAGTCTAAGTGCTATTGCTATTGCTATTTTGTGATCTTCTGACAAGCAAAGTCAATGTGGAAGCCAGATTCACTTACTAACAACTGTGGTGGTTCACTTAACAACTATGGCACAAAAGGTCGTAAAATGGGGCAAGATTCACTTAACAACTTCTGACAAAAAATTTGGTCTCAATTGTGATCATAAGTTAAGGACTACCTGTACATTCAGAAGATATTTGGTCATACATTATCCCAAAGGGGCTTTTTTCAAGAGGCAACTGGACTTTCTGGTTTTTCTTTGAAGATGTTTCACTTCTCATCCAAGAACCTTCTTCAGCTCTGACTGGTTCTTTTTCAAAGAAAAACCAGAAAGTCCAGTTGCCTCTTGAAAAAAGCACCTTTGGGACAATCATGACCTGGATAACTGAGAATCTCCATAGACATTTGATCATACATTAGTTCGTTAGTTACCATGTTTCCCCGAAAATAAGACCCTGTCTTATATTTTTTTGAACCCCGAAATAAGTGCTTGGCCTTATTTTTGGGGAGGTCTTATTATTTTGAGGCGCGTGGAGCAAGATGGGGGTCCTCTTGCTATCTTACCTGATTTCCAGCTCTGTGTTTAAATATTTTTGGGGAGGGCTTATTTTCAGCAGAAGCTTATTTTAGTGCATGCGCTCAAAAGCCTGATTGGGCTTATTATCAGGGGATGTCTTATTTTCGGGGAAACAGGATAGGACATTCTGTCATAAACTTCCTGTGATTGCCTTATGTTGTTTCCCAGCAAAAAGCTGCATAATGTTGCTGTGATATTCACAAAGAAGGAGTCATAAAGTCAAAACGGTCACAAGTGTGTGATCACAGCCCTGCGTGTTTTGCATGTACAGCAGGGGTGAAATGCTCCTGGTTTGGGCCGGTTTGCCCGAACCAGTAGTAAAAAAGGCTACTGGTTCGCTGAACCAGTAGTAAAAAATATATTAAAAAGTTCCGATAATCAGGTGAGTGACACAAAATCGTTGGAACTTTTTAAAAAAAAATTTAGCATTTTTTTACTACCAGTTCTCCAGAACAGGTAGTTAAAAATGCTTTAAAAAGTAAAAAAAAAAAGTTCAGAAGATCGTGTGTTGCTCAGCTGATCGTCGGAAATTTTTTTTTTCCTTTTTAGGCATTTTTTTACTGCCGGTTCTCCGAAACCAGTAGTAAAAATGCTTTTAAAAAGTTTTTAAAAAGGCTCCGACAATCACAGCTGAGCTGTGCAATCGTCAAAGCCTTTTTTTTTTCTTTTAAAAGCCTTTTTTTTACAAAGTATTTGGGCAAATTGGTTGTAAAAAATGGTTTCAAAAGGTAATAAAAGTCTGACGATCACAGCTGAGCTGCTTCATCGTCAGAGCCTTCTTTTATTTTAAAAAGCATTTTTTTACAACCTATTCTAGGTTGTAAAAAAATGCTTTTAAAAGTTAAAAAAAAGATCGCACACCACAGCTGATCACCCCCCTTGGGCGCACTGTTCTACTTACCCCATGCCTCCTTTTGGCATGCACCATGTGCGCGCACACCTCGCATTTGGTGGTTTGGCGTGCAGCACGCATGCACAGCCAGCAAACCAGTAGTAAACTGGTTCAGATTTCACCACTGGTGTACAGTATTGCAATGCATGTACTGTTTATGGCATGTAAAGTTTATAGCTGCATCCTAGACTGCAGAAGTTTATCATTTGCTTGAGCTGTTGCTATGAACAGAGCAGAACAATTTACAAGTGAACCTCTTATTGTTGGGAAATTGTGTTGCGAACAGAAAATATAAATACCTTTCCTTTTGAGAACACAGTATAAGCTAATGATTAAAAAGGATGGAGGGAAAGGTGAGGGATTCTTGCTTTTTTTCCCAGAAGCTTCTGCAGAGTTTCAAATGTACACAGTTCACATTCTTGCTTTTTTAATATGCCTATTCATTATCTGCATGTCTTGTTAGGTTGGACTTGTATGGAAATTCTCTCTTTGATTCTCAGTGACGGGTGTAGCTGAACCTCGAGTAACGTATATTCTCAGCTGTTGGAAAACGTTTTGGCATAATTTGAGTGACAGTTTCTGCTAGATCAGGGGGAAAGTAAAAGAAGAAGAAAAAAACACAAAAACTTCTGGTGTGTTACACACAAAGCACATAGAATAATGTATTGTTTATGCAATGTGGGCAGCTACAGTTAAAGTTCAGTTCCACTTGAATTATTAACGCAAGTCATAGTGGTAAATTTGGCTTTATCTCTCTTTTTTTTAAAAAAATTGTTGAACATTTGATTCTTGGCTGTTTTATGCATTTCTTCACCTGTTTTGCCATAAGGGAATTCATACCAGGGAGGCTTGATAAGCTTATGGTATGTTTCTCAAAGATGAACTATAAAAGATTCCATGTTGATTTGATTTTGATGTTATACCAAATCCAGGCTCTTTTGTTTTCATGTTTATTTTTTTTTCTACATCTGTTTTTCTTTTGCTTGCTTGTAGAGCTTAGAGCCCTATAGCCTCACACTATACCACTGTAGAGGTTTGCCTCCCATTGTTATTTCATTGTATCTTAAAAAGCAAAAGAATTTTGCAGTAAATCTTGAAATATATTTGGCACCTCCATTAGAATCCATAATGGGGAAAGCAAAATCTAGATCAAGCCTATAGAGCATATGGCTGCAGGCTGCTGTGTGTAGCCCGGAGGCATTTTCTAAACATTCAGTGAATTCACCACTGTTTAATGTTGTTGCTGCAAGTAAGAATCTGCTACCACTGTCTGGAAAAACATGCTGCTAAGCATCTTCAACGCCTTCAGGCTTCACTGACGCCACCAGCTGCAACTGTCAAACAGCTGACTGGTGCTCCAAATGTTCCCTTGTGACCCACAATAATTTTTAATTTATCAATGTGACTTCTACAAATTGGCCGGATCTGATCTAGATAATTTTTTAACCTTCCTATGGATAGACTAAGAGGCTGCACTTACTTTTTAAAATGTCTGCAGTGATCAAGAGTTTTTCACTTTCATTTAACTTTAAAAACATGGCTTTTGCATTAGTGCTGGTTTCATTGGAAAGAATCCGATTCGTGTTAGTGCTGCTTTCTGCAATGATTGTATAAACAGGCGATCATTCTGGATTAAACAAGTCAATCCAAAAAGTAGATGACAAAGAAATAATCATTTATACTAATATTTTGGCATTTCCATTAAGCATGCAGGGAGCACTTGCAGTTCACAGAACTGTTCTATTAGCCACATAACTGCCTGTGCTGCTGCATTCTGTACCGGATGGACCTTCTGGATACTCTTCAGGGACAGCCCCATATAAAGTGCATTGCAGTAGTCCAATATGAAGGCGATTAGGATATGAATGTCTTAGCAGGGCCTGCTGATCCAGAAATAGGCACAACTGGTGCACAAGAAGTTGTTGTGCAAAGGCCCTCCTAATCACAGCTACCACCTGCTCATTAAGCAGGAGTCATGGAGCTACAAGGACCCCTATTGTGGACTGCATCTGTTTGGGACAATGCAAACCCTCTTGTACCAAAGATGGTATCGTCCTGGAACGATACCCACATCCAAAGTAGGCTCCCACATCCAAAGCTATTCAGTCTTGCTAGGGTTCAGCTGAAGCCTGTTGTTCCCCATCCAAATATTCACATTCTCCAGACACTGGGGGGGGGGGGGAGGAGTTCATCGCTTAATGTGCTGGGGTGGAGATATATAAATGGGTACATTAGTATAGTGATGATACCTTACTCCATGGTGAGGACAAAGCAGAGAACCTTGTGGCACCTCACATAGTAGGGGCTGAAGACAGGAATTTTTTTGGTTTTTAATTTCTAACTTTGAACAAAACCTTT